CAATGCTAACTGTGTAAGAATCGGCTTGAATGGCATCAACCACGTAGATAAGCTTCATGTTATGGTATAGCCAGGAGGAGCACGCCCTATGGCCAGGAGGCCAGAGCAATGATGTCAGAAGATGTGACGTCAGATACGCATCATGATCATCAGCAAAAAAAAAGAAAAAATGACATCAGTATTCTGAGTCTATGGGTGTACAGGGCCACTGATTTGATCCATCCGCGATCTTCGATATATTCAGTCATTTTCAATCATCTAATCTGTCACTGACTCACAGACAGCACGCACGCACAAATGCTGTAGCACCGGGCGTAAGATCACACGTACCCGGATACTTCATTCTAGACCGTACATAGGATTTTTTTTTATTATTTTTTTTTTTTTTAACAAAGAGCCCGGGTCCCTATTTGGAGGGTTGATATGAGCAGACCCCCCTTTACTAGGTCCCCCGCGTGCTCCATCTATTGGTGGGGGGCTGCACCTGCTGGAGACCGGGTCCAGCGTCCCATTTTTCACAAAAATGATTACGATCGTATGTACGGTCTTTGGCAGACCACCGTACATATGATCAATAGCCAGAAACACAGAAAAAAGAAAAGAAAAGAAAAGAATCTGTGTTAGTGGGTTAAACCACCAGTACTTCCTGAAGTCGTGCCAGTTAATGCTACGCGATTTTCGGAAACGTACGGGCCACTACAGGAGCGCCCAAATTCATCCAACTAGAAACGTTTCTACTCTATTTGATGGTCTGATCACAGTTCCTAGCAGGGACAACTGGGTTGGTGGGTACAAGTCTCTCTGTGCTTGCCTCTCTCAAAAATCCTTTCCTAACTCGGAAGATATAGATGAGGTGGAGGTCTGGAAGGATAAGTTGGAAGGTTTGGTGATAGCTCCTATTGACCACAACATTGGGGATTCCTACGTTTGCTGTGCGACTATGTACTACAATGCCCTGGAGGGCCTGTACTGGGGTAACAAAGGCTTCACTATTGAACAGCGGAGTGAAGAAGAAATCTTGACTATTTGCAGAACTGCATACTATGGAACCCAAGCTCAGAAGCTTGCTCCTTGGAACTACAAAGGTAGTTTGGGTTGCACTTACGGGATCCCTAAACACAAGGACGTAAGCAGGTGGAGACCAATCGCGCCCTCTTTTTCTGAGCCCAGTCTGAAAGCATGCAAGTTGGTGGCCAAGGCCATCAATGGCTTGTTGTGGAGAATCCCTGAGTCATCTCACTTCAACCTCAAAAGCACGAACTTGCTGAAAAAACGCATTCTCGAAATTAATAAAAGAGTGGAAAGGTTCCATGATGGAATCCTGCTCTCCTCCAGTCACGACATTAAGGAAATGTTCACGAAGCTGCCCCACGATGAAATTATGAAAGCAGTAGAATGGTTGTGTGACTTTTTTCTGGCCAAAGGGCATAATGCTGTTAGAGTTAATAAAAGGGGTAAAGGGATGGTGTTAGGAAAAAGGCATGGCGAAAAAGGATGGGTCAGAATAAATTTCTCCTTCATTATTGATTTCGTCAAATTCAACCTTGAGCATTCTCTATCCAAAGTCTCCTCTTTTATCATCCGTCAGAGTGTGGGCATCCCGATGGGAAAATGCTCCAGTCCTTCACTCGCTTGTCTCCTATGCACTCACCTAGAATTCTGTTTTCTTAAATCTCTTGGCAACGATCGTGGACTGGTGGCCGGATGTAGGCTGGTAGATGATGTCGCCCTATTCCTCCTTCTTCCAAACTCTTCTTCTTCTACTCTGAACCAAGCTAGGAATATTTATGATAAGTTCCGCCGCATCTACAACTGCAATCTCACGCTGGTTAGAACTGACGATCGAGGTGGCTCTTTCGCTTTTTTGGGATATCAAGTGGTCACTCAAGTTCACCCGCCGAAGGTTCGCTGCGACACTACAATGAAGAATCAGAGTGTCGTCTGGGACAACCATATGATTATGTTTCAATCTTCCCAGGACTTCCTGTCCTACGGGCCCAAAATTCAGAAAATAGGCGGGATTAAATGTCATTTGAGCAGGATTCTGACCCACTCCTCCGATTCCAGAGGAGTGGGCCCATGTCTCTTAGCTTTTAGGCGGGAGCTTAGACTGAAACGTTTTCCTGGCTGGATGTTTCAAAAGGCCCTTCAAGATTTCTCTGGGAAAAACAAAGGTTGTAGGGAGGGCTGGGTTCAATTTTTTTCTGAGGGTTTGAAAAGGGTTTGAAAAATAGGCCTATGATGTGACTTCCCGCTACAATGTGGGTCTGTTAGGCCGAGGGCTACTGCAGGAAGGATATCTGGTGATCTCGGTAACTTTTTTGTCCTAGATATTGGATTTGTTTTGTCTTTTAGTTTTAGGATATCCGATTCCTGTCGAAACTCTGTCTAATACGTCGCGGGATGCTAGCTGTTTTTTTGGTCCCCTCGCCGCTCGCTCTCTGAACGGTGCGCTACTACGACGACGTGGGTTTTCCAAGTAAGCGCGCGAAATCCCTCCCTCTTCTCTGATCTCTTCTGCTTCTCGACCCGCAGATCATCCGCGTCCTGCTCTTCTGCTACTTCCATGCATCTGTCTCATACTTTTTCGCCTCTGCACGTATCTTTTTTCCCGCCAGTATCTCTGCTCCTTACTCTCTTGCCTCCTTTGAAGATCATTCCCTTCCGACTGTGGTTCCCCATCCCTCTGCTGATCTCCCTTTTCTGGCCTCTGCGATTCTTTCCTTCTCCCGCTTTTTCCCGCTCTCCCTGACGAATGATGACTCTCTCTGAGATGGCTCGCGTACGATGTAGGCAGGTAGGGAAAAAGGGAAAAAACGTTCGGACGTGGAGGATTTTGAGTATTTATATCCGTTATCTGACCAGCCCGGCAGCGCAGTAACTTCCCCTGAGGATGGCCATTTTGACGAGGTGGCCGAAACATGTCGGGATAATCGCCGCTCTCGCTTTCTGTATTGTCAATCATTTTTTCGAAAGCCGGATCCTCTGTTGCGCTACGATGAGTTGGTCGTGTTTTATCCTCTTTCTCTTTTCTTTTTAACTCCTCTACTCCTGTCGACTTCTTCCTCTTCTTCTTCCTCCTCTCATCTTCTCCTTTTTCTCTTTCTCCTCCTCCTTCTTCTTCTTCTTCTTCTTCTTCTTCGTCTTCTCCTCTCTCTCCTCTACTCTGGTCATGGTCCGTCAAGGAACAACGTCTTCTGGTTATACTTTTTGCATACACGCTTCGATCGAGCTATGCTCGACTGACGCGATCAGCACCATCGACTTTATCGTCACTACAAGAGCGCCCAAATTCATCCAACCTGAAACGTTTCTACTCTATTTTTTTCCGCGACCTATAGCTGGGCCGAGTTCTGGTGGTTTAAGTAGCAGTGGTGTGTCGCGGGCTGTTGGAACGAAGTGCGCATGGATGGCCACGTACGTGTGGTGTTGTGTGTGGTGTGTGTGCATTGGACACCGCAGCCCTGCAGGGCGGGGTGGATATCACGACCAGTATGCTTGCTTTTGTAAACACTGCTTCAGGGTTGTAGCGGTCAAGATACTTTTTTCCTGTGGCTGAGGGCGCCGACTTGAGGCCGTGCGTGGTGGCGGGGTCCGCAGCCCTAAGGCATGGATTCAAATCTACTACTGAGGCAGTGGGATCTTGCCACTGGTTTTGCCACCTTGAGACGAGAGATGCGACTGAAGGGCTTCCCAAGACGAATTTTTGACAAAACACTTCCTGAGTTTTCAACGTCTAAAGGTGGATGCTGGGACCTCTGGGTTGACATATTCAGAGCAGGACTTGGGAACGAACTACGCCATGATTCCATGGCAGGTACTAACCGGCTTACAACATACCTTACGACCGCTTAATCTTATAGGCCTGACTCTTTTCCACCGTACTAGTTATGGGACGGTTTTTTGCACGTCCATTACCATTACCTCTGTCTGCGTCAAGGATAAACCATTTCTCTGATACACCGCCTATTCCCATTTGTTTTCCTCTCCCCCCCCCCCCAGCGTATAATCATGTCCAAGCCTCATCCACCTTCGCTGCCCCGAATCCCTCCACCTACGTAATGACACGTTCTGATCCCGCGATTTCGCTTTCGGATCCTCTCCGCACCAAGCACACTTTTCGAAGGCAGGTATCGCTACAGTCCCAACCCTCTGCTACGACCATCCTCGTGCTATGCCCACGCCGTTTTTCTCCCACCTTGTCTTTTGCCATCGTCTCTCTGAATCCCTTCGTCCATTCTCCCTAACCTACCCCGTACTGTTCTCCTCTCTTCCACACGCTTCCCCACCCTTATTCAGCCCATAATCTTGGACTTCCTCTGCCTTCGTTTCCCCGCCTTTTTGGATCAGCTAACCCCTCGCCTAGAACATTCCCTCCGATCTCCTCATCGATCTTCCAATCTTTCCCATACCTGGCTACCGCGTGTCACAATCAGAACTTCGGCGTCTCTGAGCACGTTTTTTGCTTCTTTGGCAGGTTTCGGATGGACTGCAAGCGGCTTACTACTAAGGGTTCCATGACGCAAGATGACTGTACGACGCACTGGTTCTCGACCAGGTTCGTCGATTACGTTGTTATTATTATTTCTTTTGCTATATTTTTTATTGGCACTCCACTACTCAGTCTGGGTAGTATGACTCCTCCCCTACGAGTTTTACCAATAGCCTCTTCCTATTTATCCAATGAGGAACATGCACAATCCCAGGCGTTGTTTCAGTCCCCTGATGATGGCCGACAGCGGAAGCGGCCGAAACGCGGCGTCGGGACGTCCGCATGGGAATTGATGTTTCACTGTAATTTTACGAATTCCCATTTTTGCACCAAGGGACTACTACGTGTTCTCTCTCCATTTTCTTTCCTTCTCTTTTTCTTTCTTTTCCTTTGTCTTTCTTCTTCTTCCACCCTCTCTCCTCCCTTCCCCTCTTTTCTCCTCTATAGCTCTCTTTCTCCCTCCTTCCCCTCTCCTCTCTCCCTCTCTCTCTCTCTCTCTTTCCCCTCGCTTCACTCTCCCTCCTTGTTCTCCTATTTCGATATACCCCTCCTTCTTCTCCCCTGTTCTCCCACTCCAACTTTGCCATTGATTTCGTGATTTGATTGCAACTTGGCCATTTTTCTGTATTGCGACTTCTGGCTTTTAAGCCACTTGCTGATTGGTTCACGGACTGTGCATTCGTGTACTCTCCTTATTCCAATCATTTGATACCGCTTTAACCACTGCGCCTCCTCGTAGATTGGTGGAAACATATTCCTACACGGCTTAGTCACCTAGGTTTGATGCAATACTATCGTTTGTATACGGCCTCGTTACTTCCTATCGCATGAGTTTTTTTGGTTTTTCTTTTTCTTTTTCTTTTACACCGATGGTCTCTCTGCGACCTGGCATATAATTCTGCGTTTTTTCGTACGCCTCTTCTTCCTGCGCTCTTCTTAACCCTTTACGGGATGTGATCTTTCTTCTCTTGTGATCTTTCTTCTCTTGCGACTATACGATCCCGCATTTTAGCTGATCCCTGCGCCTCCTTTCCATCTCTCTCTCTCTCTCTCTCTCTCTCTCTCTCTCTCTCTCTCTCTCTCTCTCTCTCTCTCTCTCTCTCTCTCTCTCTCTCTCTCTCTCTCTCTCTCTCTCTCTCTCTCTCTCTCTCTCTCTCTCTCTCTTCCCACCACTCGCTCCTTCATCACATACGATCTCGAGGGAGTACGTAGAAGTAGACATGTCGGGTAATCCCACCCCGTATGGGTGTTGCCATTACTGCAAGCAGTTTGGACATTTCATCGCCCGGTGCCCCATGCTCGGCCGTGGCGATGGCCTAATTTCAGGAGCTCCGATCGGGCAGCCTCCCGTCTCGAGCTCACAGTACGCACCAAGCGCACCTCCTTTGTCGGCGGCCCCTGTGCAGCAGACCTCGTATGCAACAGCTTCCAGCTCAAGGTCGAGACCTTCATCACCTGCCCCGTCGGCCTTGAATGCAATCGTACCATACCAACCAAGGTGCACCATTGGACAGCATGACAACAGTGGCAGTTGGAACAACCAGTACAGAGGCAATCAAGGCGAGATCGCGGCGCTGTTACGAGAGCTGGTGAATAGTGATCGTGAGAAGAGAGAGAAGCGAAGGGAGTTCGAGGAGAAGAAATTGAAGGAAGAGCAACTTGCTAAACTCAAGGAAGAAGAGGAACAAAGGCGTGAGGACGAGGAAAAGAAAGAGACAGCTAGAGAAGCTCGCATGGCAAAGCTGTTTGCGGAACAGTTTGCAGCTATGAACAAGAAGAAAGAAGATGATCGTGACTTCAAACGAGATCCTGCAAAAGGCAAGGAAAAGTACGACGACAGGAGCGTTGATGCCAAACCAAGGGGGAAGGATGGAGGTATAAAAATCAGTGACGGTGACGTTAAAAAACGCGGGCAAGAAGTGCTGCAAGGTGGCTCCCCTCTGCAACCGGATGCTGGACGTCAAAAAACTCAGCTAGAACCAACGATCGGCCCTCTAGACGCTGGGCTCTTGCTGATGAACTTCAATACGTTGAAGCGCGACCAAGAATCCTTTTAGAAGAATCAAGAAGCCATGTTCCAGCGCATGGTTACAGCTATCGAACGGCTTGGATCTCTCACCTTACCTCAGCGTCCCCTTCACACTAACCCTCCGGTTTCCCTGAACCCTTCCTCTCAATACCGTCCACCACAATCATCTTTCCCACACACCCACAATGCGGCTAATCCATCCAGTCGCACATCCAGCGCTCCTTTTTCCCCTCCCCCTCCCCCTCCCCCTCCTCCGCCTCCACCTCCTCCCCCTCCCCCTCACTCTCGGCAGATCTACTCCACACCTGGCAATGGGAACCCCCCTCCTCACA